CGTGGCATCTTTTTACAGCATCTCCACCTAGTGGACACACTATTTCATGAGAGGAACAAACCACAAAAGTGTTTGATACAAGATAAAACAATGTCAATTGTGCATTTGAAATATACAGTATGTTCACAAAATTGGATTGGTGATGCCACACCCAGTTCCAACCTGGTGCTTTGAAAAGTCACATGAGAAGCAAGGGCTGAATCTGACTGTAAAACACATTGTATTCTCAAATGGCGTTGACTTGTCAATCATAGCACAGGCCATCATAGAGCATACTCTGCTTTATCATCCTAAGGCAGGGACGGTACACTTGGGAGTTTATGTACACCTTCTAACACTTCATATTGCTTTCTATGCCCTTATGTTGAGCACATTCAAGCAGCAGCACAACTTTGACATCAAAGATGAAGTGACACAGAAACACAGTCCAATGCAACTGATGTGGTCATCTCCAAAGCTAATTCAGCAATGCCTAAATTGTGTCTGGGTGCTATAACTCTGGTCTTTTATTGGTCATTTTCATAATCTAATGTTGTTCAAGTGGTTTGTAAAACCAAAGCAGACGACGTAAACAAAAGGTATAACAAAATATTTTGGGGAAAATGTAGCAAAGGTATCACTGCTAAAGATGTATACTGCATATGAGTTTTCTCTCTTTATTTTTTCTAAAATTAATAAATAAACTATTAAAACAAAGAGATAAATAAATGAATACAGAAAACACACACATATACGCATGATTTAATTTGTACTTGACAAATTATATAATCTCAACATTATAATCAAATAAAGCTGCATAATTATTAACATAATAAATATAATAATATTATTATTACTATTAACAAATATGATTTATTTCAGAACTGAGTTTTTATTTATTAACCCCACCTCCACATTCACACACACACACACACACACACACACACAAACAAACAAACACACACAAACAAACACTCACACCCAAACTACAAACTTGAAATATAATGACATAATTTCATATTATCATCAAGTAAAGTGAATTTGTTCACATATCTATCAGTATAATCAGTTTTTACATCATTTCACTTCTATTCTACTTTTGCTAACTGATCAAGAGACTCATCTCTACAAACACCCACATCAGCTTTCACTTTCAGCGACTTTTTAACATGTTAAAAATAGGCCTAAAAGTAATAGCAGAAGCACAATTGTAGCAAGTACTATTGCCACCGTCAAAGGTATTATCCAACCTAAAAAAAGAAAAAAGAAAGAAAGAAGAAAAGAGCAATAAGTCTGGTATCATTTACAATTACCATTGTTATATTCTGATTAATCTGATTGACAGCGCTGTATATGGAAACAAATGTGATCAAGTTCAAAAGCTAAATTACATCACATTAGACAGTTAATGAAATTTAAACCAAAGAGGAATTCTACACTAAAACACTTTAGAAAAAATTCACTAAATTAAAAAGACAAAATATTACAGTCATACTTACCGTCCATGAAGTTCTGACAGGGAAACATGTGAAAGAAAGAATGAAAGAAATCAGCCACAGTGATCATCCTTTACTGATAATAAGCCTTGTGTTAGATCAGTCACTTACCTGAGTAGGAGGAGAAACCCGCAAAAATTTCTTCACCTCGTGCCACATGATCTCATTCTGGTTGGAATTCAGGAGTTTGTCTTCATAAAACAGACAGTCCACAGTGAGGCAGACATGTGGGTTATCCACCTGTCTCCGACTTTCACCCGCAACATAATCAGTATCGAAGGTATGATGCATCACTACCAGAATTGCTGGTTTATCACCTGAAAACACAAAGAAGAGAGGGAGAAAAGATTGAAAACAAGAAATTCAAAACATGTTTTCCATCTGTAGCCTATGCTGTAAGAACATAAAAGCTGCATGTGGCTCTTTGCCTGAAGAGCCACATGTTGCTGAACCAGTTTTCTATGTAAATACTGCATGGGTGGATACCTAATGTAAGACCAGTCACATACAGTTGCATTTTTTAGAATACCTTCCCACAATCATTTATAAGATTCAATCAGTGCTAAATAATATAATGTAGCTTTTCTTACGGGGCATGTTGCTCAGGGCTTCTGTGATGTCGGTTCCAACTCGTGAAACAACAGGACAGAGAACCAGAATGTAGTCACATTCTTCTGGGGACTTCACCTCTCTTTGGCCAAAGCTGATCATCTTTCTAACAATGAAATGATGAGTCCCATTTGTCTTTCCTGCCACGAAGACGTAGAACTTTTCCCCCAAAGCTAAAGATTTGGGAAAAAAATTAGATAATTGTTCTTAACTTTGTGTAGCTGCACAGCTTCAAGCAAAAGAAGATAAACCTTGAGTCCATTCTGCAAGTTTCAAAATAATCTAAAAATTATGTCAACTTTTCACCTTAATGTTAATTACAGAATGTATAATGTATGAATGTACATTTTATTAATGTAGAAAATTTCATTAGACACAATGTGCTTAAATTAAAAGATAGGAAGATAAAAACTATGTAGTAATAAAATACAAGACAACACACACACACGCACACACACACACACACACAAAGAATTAACTGTAAGAATAAAAAGGTTTTAAGTACGTGTTTGAAGGTCTTCTTTGAAATAACAGGAAGTACCCTTAGCACACTTAGATCTAATTAGACCTGAAGAGATCTAATGGAAGTCCATCTAAGCAAAATAGATTTTTTTTAGCTGCTCCCAAAATCTGTTTAAACTTTAAACCACAGAAGTAATCATAGACCTGCAGCTCTGCCCTTCAGTTTAGATTAGCATGGATTAGCATGCTAATACAATTTCCAGTTAAAAGAGAAAGTGAAACTAAGTAAAAACAGTACAGAAAAAAACAGAGCATGTTTAGTGGCCTGCAACACCGTGGTGCTTTTAACCAGAGTTTAAAAGGTCAAAGACAATGCAGTCGCAGTCACAGAATCGTACGGATGCATTAACTGTTTGAGCAGTGCTGGTACGTCTAAAACTAGACATAGACATGAAAAATGAGAGTAATTATGAGCAGCAGGAGCAATTATTTACATTTCTAGGCAGTGAATATACTGCAAGTCCAGTATGCACTCTCATTTAACCAAAAGCAATTCCAATTTTAGTTGCAAATTCTGCAATTCGCCAAACTTGAAGTTCCTTTTTACTAGTCTGCTGCATGGTGCTGTCAGGAAGTGTAAAGTGTTTGAGATGAAGTTAGAAAAAACAAATGTAATTGCTCACCATTTTCTTCATTTGTGCTTCTAAGTAGAGACGTGGAAAGAGAGAAAGGTGCCTTAGTCAGACTTTAACAAAGCTGAATAACTTCAGGTAAATATGCGTACATCCTGGTAACAGCTGTTCTGCGCAAACTTATAATAGAACACAGCATAAAAAAACAAATGAAAAAACCCCAAATCTTAGCAGTGTATAATCTGGGATTTAGCTTTTAACAGTCTGAGAAAAAGGATCTAAAACCAATATTTAAGAAGCTTACTTACGGAGTACTTTGATAAGATGTTGGTGTCTCTGCCATATTTTATCACACGCTCAAGACCAGTGAACACCCTTCCCCCACGTCCAGTCTTCCTTCCACTGTTTGTTGAAGGCAGCGTGTCAGTCACGGAACAGGAACTGCAGACATAACTGTGTGCTGAAGGAAATAAGATAAGAGCACAGCAGCAGCGGAGGAAATGTAGTTACTATAGTGTGCAATACAAAGACACTAGCAGTTACAATGTTGGGGTCTTCAAACTACATGTTCAAAAATTGGGGTTAATTGCACCATATATACCATAGGTGTACACAATTAATATTTACCCAAGCTTTCACAACAACTTCTACTGTTTGTTCTTCTCAAGAAATATGACAAATATATCCACTGGGTGGCAGTGTTGTAAAAAGACAATCTGAAAGTGGCTCTGATTGGACTGAAGTCCAAAACACCAACTTCATGTGTCACTGAAAACTAATTTATTACATTTATTCTAAGTAAGAGACAAGTGACGTCAAAATGTATTCCTTTTACTCTGTTCTCATACCAGCATAATGGTGTCAGGTATCTACCGTTAACGAGTATGCAGTACCGAGGTTAACTGAGCTGTTAATTAAGCTTTGTGTTTTTTAATGTTTCAGGCAACGTCAGTCTCAACACAAATATTACTTCAATAATATGTTTTGAATGTAAATAATTCAAATAAATAACTAATAATTTTTTATTAGTGACAACAGGACAAAAATATTTAAATTAAAAATGAACAAAAGCTATTTGCTTTATTATTTACAGTCACACTAGTTTCTTCTTTCCTTTTCTCAGTTTGAGTCCTTTTACTGCTCAACCATCACACACATGCACACAAACACATGCAACTGCTGACATTTAATAAAACTCATAGACTTGGGGACAACATGTTAAGTGCAGTAAAAGCATTTGTTGTTACACTACATGCACTGACAGTGAGAGTGAGCGAGAGAGAGAGAAATAGTAGTGTCAGCTCACTTGACCATAGCTGCTCTTAAGTTAAAAACATTTGCCAACATGCAAGTAAATACTGTTGGTTAGCCAGAGTGAAATGCCTCCAAGCTAATTTCACTTAGCCTTCATTTTCCTCTGTGTTGTCTTAGCTCTCTTGGTTACTGATGCTGCTTCTGCATGGCCTAGTAAACAAATTTGATAGTAATAAGAATAGACTGGCCATATCATCTTGTTTTCACTGGTATCAGATTCACGTTTTGAGTCCAGATCTGACAAATGTCAGATCCAAATATGTTTATATTTACATTACCTAAGAAAAAAATACTACATAAAGGAGATTCATGTATCCACACTGCAACACAGTGCATGTTCATATGGTATCAACTTGTCATTGGTTGTCCCGCCCCGTATCACACCCTGCACTACTGTTGTTTTTGACTCAAAGGAAGGGCTTCCACTCAGCTGCTCAGCAGACCATCATTTCATTTTTTATGTTTAGGACAGTTAATGCTGAAACATTTAAACTCTTTTGCTGTTTTATTTACATTTATTTACAGTGGCTTGTGCAATTCAACTCAGCTGTAAATAAACAAATATTTCCAGGATGTAGGAGCTGCACGCCATTATTTACTGATGTGAAAGTAATACAACAAAAAATACAATTCAATAATAGCAGAAGATATAAACAAAATGTAACAGGTCTGTATAAATTACAGGCAAAATGCAGTGAAGGTATTGGTGGTTAAAGGATGTAATGTTACGTAAGGGCTTACTCACACTTAGATCCAAGATAAATTAATAAGCGTAGACAAGCAACAGAAATATGAAACATTTGAATTTATTATTCACAAATGATTTAGTTTTGATAAGATTATTTGGACAAATCAGCAGAATTACGTCATAGAGATGATTTGCTTTTATTTATAGCTTCACCAAGTTGCAATATAACCAACAAGATACCCTGGATGTGTGAAGTGATTTTAGTAAACCAACACTGTATATCAGTACAGCAGTGCACAGTGTTGTTTTACAGGACAATTTGTGTTCATGGAAATGTGCATCTAGTTTGCTGTCTGCATTAATGACATGGCTAGAAAAATGTCCTAGTGCTCATCTAATAATCTTTCTCCTTATTATTGTTATTATTGTTGTTGTTGTTGTTGTTGTTGTTGCTGAATCGATTACCTAAAATATGTCATTATGTACTTATTTCCAACTTAGCCTTGAACTTAGCCATATGACTCCTTGACCTAAATAGATTCCTTTTGGTTTTGCTATCCAGGGACTGCTCTCACAGCCCTATTTTCTTTTTTATTTCAGGACTGTTGAAATACACAAAGATCGCTACAGCAGTTAGAGCTGCAATCCGAAGTACTCGACGATTCAAATCTAAAATGAAGAATAAAAGAGCAATGAGTTACCTCAGATCATTCTTATAGGCCAAACAATCCAAAGTCATTATATATTAAATTCTATGATTCAAAGTTTTGAACACCAAAAGACTATTTATAGTATACTTTAATATGTTTAAACTATATATTCCTCTTTGTTGTATACAGCAATGGCTTGGAGAATTAGTCTCAATCCATGAGCAAGTAGGCTTTATTCTAACATGCTGACTTATCAAGACAAAACAAAGAGGGAAAATTACTTTAAAATGTGTCCCTTAGGGAAACACTCCTTAATGTTATAGTATGAAACTGGAACAATCATACTTACATTTGATCGTTCCAAACCACAAAACCTGAATAATAAAATGAAACAAAGAAATAAAGTATTTAAGTATATGCCAAAATAATTATGTGTAAACCTGATAACAGATCAATACATTTTGCCATTACCTGGAGAGTGGAAACTTCCAAAAATATCTCTATTTCATTCCACATCTTATTGTTAAGTTTAGAGTTCAGGAGCTTGCCATCACGAAACAGACAGTCCACAGTGAGGCGGACATTTGGGTTGGTCACTTGTCTCCGGCTTTCAGCTACAACATAATCGGGATTGAAGGTGGGATGCATCACCACCAGTATTACTGGTTTACCACCTGTAACCACAGAGACAACAGGATGAAATGATTCAGAACAAATTTGGATTACTCCATCTTTAGATTATACTGCAGGACATATAAGCTGAACATTCTTCTACAGTAAACAAGATCCTTCACCTCCGATTTCTTAATCCTTGTTTTTATTTTCTATTTTTTTCATTAGTCCAAAAAAGATATGAGAATAGCCCTTATCTAAGAAACAATATTGACACTGGATTTGTCAGTAAATCTCCCCGGTTACTTAGAAGCACCAACTCCTTCACAATATTAGTGAAGACAATAGAAAAACTAATTTAATTTTCCTCACGGGGCATGTTGTCCAGAGCCTCTCCGATGTCCGTTCCAACTCGTGAAACAACAGGACAGAAAACCAGAAGATAGTCGCATTCATTTAGAGCGTTCACCTCTGCTTGGCCAACATCTTTCAACCTTTCAACAATGTGACGATGAGCCCCATTTGTATTTCCAGCTTCAACGATAAATATTTTTTTTCCCCGAAGCTAAAGATGGATGAAAAAGAATATTTTAGGCATATCCTTGGAATTTTTATGCAGTTTATGTTGTGTGTGTGCCAGTTATATGAATCATGATCTAAATAAGCAAAAACTAAAGGAAGTGGGTGAATTACTGTCAGTGTGAATGTAGTGTTTTCCATGTGAGCTTTTCTTAATGAATGGAAATGCACATGTCAGCTAATCCAGCTAACACTGGATTAGCTGACAGGTGACTGGATTGGACACTAGATCAAGTGCTCCCCAAATCTAGTGAAACCACCGCCATAAGTCAAAGATTCACTCCTCCTTTACTTCTCTTTATGTCTTTAACAGTTCCCTATTATGCTGCAAAATGCTGCATTCACGAACTGTCAGCTGTATGGCGCCATCAAGTGTTTAACAAACGTAATAAAGTAAATGTATTTTCTCACCATTTTCTTCTTTCTTTTCTTTGCGTTGGGAAACAAGTGGAAGAAGAAATTAGCATTTAGCGGGAATTTAAAAAGTTGAACAAATTCAGCCAGCAGGTAAATATGTGTCAGTGTTGGTAACACTGAAAGCTCTGCACGAGCTTTTACTGGATCCAGACAAAGTCAAAAACGAAAAAAGAAAGACCACCTTAGAAGAGAGTGTGCATGCACGTTAGAGATGAGGGAGCACTTCAAAGCCTTATATGGTTAGTTAATCATTTTAAAAGTCGACTTACGGAAGAGCTTGATACGTGACTCGTGTCACGGGCACACTGAAGACGCTGAAAGCCCCTCCCCGACCGCCTCTCAGTGCAGCACTTTCACTTTTGATTTGAGACACAAAGACAAAACAGAGATGAAAATGTGTTTTGAGAGAGAAAAGACAAGAAAGGTAGGTGTGAGTTGTTGAAAATCATTGTAAATGTGTGTGATACAATATAAAGATGAACCTTGATAAAAAATTAAAAAGAAAAAACAGTTGTTTGTTCATCTCATTAGAATCTGCAATACTGATCACGACCACTGGGAGGCAGTGTTGTAGAAAAATGAAGTCAGTCCAAAACACAAGCTTCACCTGACACTGAAAGTTGAAGTAGAAAATATCAGTATCCCCCACCCAACAACTCAACTAACTACATTTATGCTGAAGAGAGACGAGTGGCATAAAATGTATTTCCAAAATTACAAATGTTTTTTTACACACAGGCATTTTAAAATATTTTAATAACATCAACACTGATTAGTAAATCAATCAATATTTTAAATCTGAGTCACCTTACACGCTATGTGTGTCATTTACTGTTTACCTCGTGATGAAGGTGCGGTGCATCCACAACTATGTACTCTGAAGCACAATGATCTGACTGAGATGCTACGGTATGACTTTAAACAGGCGCTTCATGCTTGAAAACCCTCCAATGTGGCTGAATTACATCAATTCTGCAAAGATGAGTCGGACAAAGTTCCCCCACGGTGCTCGAAAAGACTCTCAAATGCTTGATTGCAGTTGTTGCTGCTAAGGGTGGCCCAGCCAGTTAGTAGGCTTAGGCTCCCTTTTTCGCACAAGGCCATGTAGGATTAGATTTTTCCCTCTTTAATAATAAACACCTACATTTAAAACATTTTTCTTACTTGTGTTATCTTTGTGTAATATTTAAACTTGATTGATGATCTCATTTCAGTGTGACAAAAAATAGGAAATCAGGAATGAGGCAAAACACTTTTTCACATCACCATATTTATTGTTATTTATTAGTAAATTACATTTTTAGTAAAAAGTAAAAGGTTAATAAGATAAAGTACAGAAAAGCAACAAGACAGGAAAGATTTGTATTTATTCTTTATGAGCATAATTATGACAATACATTCAGCAGAATTATTTCACACATATGTTTTATTTGTACTTGACGACTTGTTAGTGCCTTCAGCATGAGCATGCTCGACCTTGTCTACTTGTGTAAGTGTCACTAGAATGATGATAAAAATGAATGCAATGATGAGTGCTACAATCAGTAGATGGTTCTTTATCCCTAAAATGAAGAAAAACAAAGATTATTAAAGATGGTATTTTTTATTATTACATATAAAATACAAAACATAATGCAAATGGCAGAAACTGCAATTAAAATAATAATAATAATAATAATAATAATAATAATAATAATAATAATAATAATAATAATATCAAAGTTTCTATTTTCATGGGCCCATCTAAATCATTGAATTCAGGTGCTCCAATCACGTTCTTAACCTCTGATTTATCGAGTCAAGCACCCAGCCATGCAGACTGCTTCTACAAACATTTATGAAAGACCGAAAGACCAGGTCGCTCTCAGGAGCTCAGTAAATTTCAGTGTGGTACCATGATAGGATGCCACTGGTGCAACAAGTTCAGTTGTGAAATTTTCTCATTATTAATGAATTAATAAAGTGGAAGTGATTGGGAACGACAGCAATTTAGCAGCAAAGATAAAGGCCACGTAAAGTCAGAGATTGCTGTCAACATCAGTGTCTGACTTCACAAATGTGCTTCTGGATTAATGGTCAAAAAATCCCATAAACACACTTCTAAACCTTGTACAATGTCTAGTTAAAGCTATTGAAGCTATGAAGCAATTGTATTTGAAAAGGTTGGGTCAATATCATATTTAATGGATTAAGAATGGGATGGGAATCAAGTTCATATGTGGGTCTTTGGCCCAGTGTTTTGAATTTATGAGGTTACGGTTCCTCGTGTTTTGAGAACCTCTGGTTTTTAGGTCTGGCTTCTTTGTAACTTTAGCTGGTTGCTATTTTCCTTGGTAATCTATAGTATTCTCTGTTCTTTTTATTCTTTAATATTCTACTTCATGTTCCTAGGTTATGATCAAGTTTAATCTGTGTGCTTTGGTAATGCAATAGCTATCATGTTTTATGATCCCTTTCTGTCTCCACAGTCATGTCTGGTCTGTTCAGTTGTGTTCCAAACGTGTGTCCATTCTGCCCTAATGTCCTCCTGTGAATCTAAACCCTCAGTTTGCATCTGTTCTGTGTAACTTTTGAGGTACTTTTCAGCTAATTTCACAGGTGGGATAACTACTTACATTATCATTTTAATCTGAATGTAAAACTGGGGCAAAAAAAAAGCTGTAATTGGAAATTCATGGTTGTAGTCACACTTACAATTGACTATCCTGGTCAGCAAGTCAGAGCCCTAAAAAGGAAGAAGAAAAATTAGAATACAAATAACAAATTCACTGGAGCATTTGTAACAAACTGCAATGTTTGAATCATACCTACCTACCCACTACTTTATTCAAAACATCAATATTAGATAAGTTTTTTTTAGTCAGTACCTGAGTCTCCAAAATGAGAACTCCAAAATGATTCTTGATTTCAGCCCACATGTTGTCATTGAGACTGCAGTTAAGGAGGGTGCCATTATAAAAGAGACAATCCACAGTGAGGCAGACATCTGGGTCGTAGACCTGTCTGCTGCTTTTGGCTACAACACGACGAGTATCATGAGTGTGGTGCATCACCACCAGAATCATTGGTTTACCCGCTATAAGGACAGAGACAGTGGGATCAGATGGTTCAAGAAAAGTGAAAAAAACATTTAAGTTAGTTAAGTTACTAGATATTGAGCTGAGGCTGTAAGACATTAAAACTTTTCTTCATAACCCTTTACATTATTTCATCCATCCATTATTTTCCATCTACTTGTTCAACTGAATATCACACAGGAGCTTCCCATCTGACACACAAGAGAAAAAGACAACTAATGTAAGTAGGTCACATACAGGTAAATACAACTTCTTACCATGACATTTCTCGTGATACCAATTTAACATTCATGGATTTAAATTACTTCCCTTTACTTGTGATGACAAAAGAAAACTAGTGTGATTTAACATTTCGTACGAGGTTTGTTGTTGAGAGCCTCTGTGATGTCTGTTCCAACTCGTGAAGCAATAGGACAAAAACCTAGAAGGTAGTCACAATCTTCAGGAGAGTCCACCTCAGTGTGGCCGATGTCTTTGAGTTTTTGAACAATTTGAGAATGAGCTCCATTTGTTCTTCCCACCTTCCAGACATAGAATTTTTCCCACAAAACTAAAGATGAAAGAAAAAGAAATTTAAGTACATTATTCACCTGTAACATCATTTTGTACTACTTGAGCCAGATGAAGGTGAAAGAAATAACAAAATGATATCATCTATCAGTGGCTTTTTACATGGATGCTGATTAGGATCTCCCCAAATGTGCTGAAACTACTGGAGTAATCGCAAAGCACTCAGCTGCAGTGCTTTCATTTTAATAGGGTAGTGTAAATGACCACGGCAGACCCGGTGACATTAACATGCTCTGTTACCTTTATTGACACACAGAGCTGCAGCTCTCCCGCTGCCAGCTCAACATAACCAACAACAACACCACCACAGGACCCAGTGCTATGCTTAAGTCGGTGGAGCATGATTGCGGATGCCGTGCAGGTGCGTCCACCTTCCCTGCACGGCACCGCAGGCCACACCCTGCCACAGCTGGTTTCAGTTATAACAGAAAATGAAAGTGAATTAAAACAAGGTGTGTCTTCTTCTTCTTTATTTATTTTGATTTTTGTTTGGTTATTAAAGCTCTTCATAATTATCATGGTAGAAGTATCAATAAATGATGTTTTATAATCACCAAATGCAGTTTAATGAATTTAACAAATACAGTCTTGAAAAATCTACTTGTTTTCTCACCTTGTTCCTGTTCCATGTCTCTAAGAAGGATCAAGAAACAGAAAGGAGCATTTTTCAGCATAATTATCCACAGACAAGGTGAATGTACATCACAAGCTCTCTTTAGTGGCAGCTGCCCTACAAAAGCTATCACTGGTATAGATGTCTGAAAAAAAAAACCAAGAGATACTAATCTGTATTATTATTCAGTTCAGTTCAGTGAGAAGATGAGAAAACCTAAATGTGCCACTGAATGATGCAGGAAACCCAACTCCTACTTCTAAAGCACAAGTGCGCACTGCAAAAGTTCCACAGCCTTACTATCGACACAGCAGACACAGAGAAAACAACAAAGTCCAGTATGATAACAGGGGCACCTCAATGTCAACCATATAGATGTAATTTAATATTTAATACTAAATCAACTGTGACTGTATAATTTCCTCAATGAAGTACTTTGATTGTAATTTATCTGTAATCTGCATTATTACATTGCATGGCAGTGCAATGTAATAAGTAGTTCACAGCATCATGGGGTGAAAAAAGAAAGTAAAAGGTTACTTACAAAAGGGCTTGATAATTTCTTTCAATCTCTGGCATATCTTTCCTCAGGCTGCAGTAGAATGAAATGCAGTGTAAATGAAAGTCATGGTCACTGCAAAACTTTCACTTTCACATGTGCAGACAGCCACCCACTCATCCATCCACTTATCTGTTTTTTTCCTGCTTTTAGATGCTGAGCACTGGGAAATCTCCCAAACAGAAATATTTTCAGAACACTAAAGATGAAAACACTTCATTTAAAAAGGGTCAATTGGAGCATAATATTGCATCATATCACAGTACTTGAGTCAGATGATTTCATTTGATATTAGTGGCTTTTTTAAGTGAGCTACAAAGTGCCTTGGATACTAGGACCCAAAATTAGCTAAAATCACAGAAATAATGACGAAGGACTGTGATGGAGTGATTTTGACAAAAGTTGTCATTGTTGTGCTTAAAACTATAAACCTTGTCCTAATCTGCATGTTCAGATATTTTTCTGTCCCTCCCCGACATCTAGGATGGTGGGGGATGGTAATAGCTATAGTGTTTAACTGCAGGCACATTGCATGTAAAGGTTCTGGTTTCTTTATTTAGAAGGAATGTTTACTTCCTGCCATTTATGGGCTCACCTGTGCTTGCATATGGTGGACCATTAAAGGGGTTAAGCGATATATGGGGGGTGAGGGAAGGTGACCCTTTTATGACTATAGATGTTGTTAAA